TGATATAAACTACAGATTGTCTTGGGTGAACCAGCCAATGTACATAAAAACCCAATAAGCATGTCATGTTTTAACCCAATGAATGAATTCAAACAATGTAAGATGGCTTAACTGGATAGAGCAATGGTTCTCAACCTGTGAGTCAGGACCCCATTTGGGGTCGAACGACCATTTCACGGGGGTCCGCCATTTTCCCCCCCTTTTCCTTAGCTGTGTTACTCCCTTTTATTCTATTGGCTTTTGAAAGCCAATAGAATAGACTCTCTTGAATAGAGTCTAATTCTATTGGCTTTCAAAAGCCAATAGGAATTGTCCAGGCTGTCTCTGCCCTGCTGAGCCTGCCAAAAGTCCCATTCTGCAAACGATGCTGCACCAGTTGAGTAGTCCTCGACTTATGACCGGTTGAGTAGTCCTCGACTTACGACCGGCTGGGGGTCGCGGCATTAAAAAGGTTGAGAACCACTGGGATAGAGGAAGACTTTCCTGGTTGTATCACTTCACTTGAGGAGTTTTTCCACACAAATGGACCAGCAGGTAGGAGATGTGGCTGTGATTCAGCCTCCCCAGTTAGAAGACAAAGGATGGGAGACCACGTACAGGAAAGTGAGGTTCTCTTGAAGCAGTGGAGCAGGAAAGCCTTTTGCCAAGGATAGGATTAAGAAATTTAGCTCTGATCTTGAGAAGGAGAAGGCAGAAATGAAATGATTATTTGGCCAGGGAAAACAGACAGCGGAGGAAGAGATTCAGAGCAATCCTGTCCTGACCTTGTTAGGCATTGCAGGCTTTGTTCAGGCTTTCACAGTTTTGTTAATCTATCCTACAACAACCCAAGATCATTCCTTTTGACCTGATCTCCCTTGAAGGGCTGAGAAGTTGTGAAGAAGCAGCATATGTCATGGCTGCTTTGCTGTCAATCTCATGCATCAGGAGAAACGTATCAATGCTAGAGGTAGGACATGCCCTAAATGTGGGTGCCCACACAACATAACCAGTTCACTTGAAGTTTGCTTTCAGAAGTCAGATGAAGAGATTCCTATTTATTTATGTGCCTGGAGGTTTTAAATACTTGGCAGTCTCTGAATTATTATTGGGTTTTTTTTACAGAAAAGCAAATCTTTCACAAACATTAAACAATTATGAATTTTTATAATCTTACTTATACTGGTTAGATTGTTTTTCAAAATGCCAACTGCTTGCTGTGTTTGCCATTTTCGATAGAAAACTAGGAAATAAATTTTAAACACAAACGTGCACAAAAATACCTAAGAAAAAGCATGAAGGCGTGCAAATATACATTCCTGTGTATTCTACTTATTCAAACCTTTTATGCATGCAAGTATATATGAAGTTCCATTTTATTCCTCCTTCACGTACAGTTAGAACAAATGAAGGAACAAAACAATAAATTTAGAGCCATTTTAATAAAAGAAGGCAACCAGATAAGTCCATAATGAGAGATGGAATTATCCTCAGGGTCAGTGTTTCTCAACATTGGCAACCTTAAGATATCTGAAATTCAACTTCCCGAATTCCTTAGCCAGATTTCTGAGAGTTGAAGTCCACATTATTTTAAGAGTTGCCAAAGTTGAGAAAGACCACTCAGGTATCAGGTCTCACTCTCAGCATCGGTACAACGGTCTATTCAAGAAATTCCCCCAATGGTTTTGGGATTGGGAAAGATGGCTCTTCTTATCCACTCAGAGGAACATTCATTTCCAAGTAGTGTGCTACCAGGTGAGTGAGAAGTAGATCTCAGCCATGGCTACCTGCTTCCCTTGCCCTTTGCTGCATGGCAGGCCAAGCAGTGCTCAGTGAAAAGGCATGCTGGGCCAGTGGTCCTATTAAATAATTGGATGCTCAGCCTCAATGCAAGGAAGAAGCAGGTGGGGAGGTAAAGGCAGGGCAGAAAAGCTAAGGCTGGTAGCATGCTGGGCCTTGTATTCACGCTGGGGCTGGAGGATCCTTGCATTGCATATGCTACATTTTCTGCTTGTTAAATGTCAGCATGTGGTTAGGAGACATGAATGTTTCATCAGCTGTTAGGGAAGAACCTCTGCTGATTAAATGGCACCGGCTGGGGGTTAGGCATGCAAACAAGGACTTTGTGTGTGTGTGTGTGTGTGTGTGTGTGTGTGTGTGTGTGTGTGTGTGTGTGAATAGGTACTGGAAAGTACTGTATGATAAAGAGCACCCAGGGGCATTCCATTAACAAAAGATGTGTCATGTGTGTGTGTGCGCACATGTGTGCTCATCAGAAATGTGGAAAAAAAATGGTTGTATAAGAAATACACAAGTTAGGTCATGTGCCCTGCAGATGAGTAAGAGCTTCAGCTATGAGGAATCTCAATGCTGGAACAGTTAGATGCCTTTTCTCTTTCTCTTAGATGCCTCTATGGCTAAGGCTGTTTTCCTTTGGCTGAGTGTTTCACCGGGCCATCCTGCTGGTTCCCTCACTCCCACACATGGAAAGCCCATATGTACCTTAGAATATATTGACCTCTTTGGGTATCATAACAATGCTATGCTGACATCCTCTAAGCCTCAGCTTAGGCGCCTTGCCAGTTCCAGACTGACTAACAGAATAACGGAAGAGACCTTGGAGGTCTTCTAGTCCAGGGGTCCTCAACTCCTGGTCCATGGACCGGCACTAGTCCACAGCATGCCAGAAACTGGGCTGCACAAACAAGCAAAGCCCCATTCGCTGGTCCATGGAAAAACCTCTCTCCATGGAACCGGTCCCTGGTGTTCAAAAGGTTGGGGGCCTCTGTTCTAGTCCAACCTCCTGCTCAAGCAGGAGACCTTATACTATTTCAGACAAATGGCTATCCAATCTCTTCTTAAATTTAAACTTCCAGTAATGGAGCACCCATAACTTCTGGAGGAAAGCCATTCCACTGGTTAATTGTTCTAACTGTCAGGAAATGTTTCCTTAGTTCTAGATTGGTTCTCTCCTTGATCAGTTTCCATCCACTGCTTCTTGTTCTGCTTTCTGGGGCTTTGGAAAATAGGTAGACTCCCTCTTCTTTGTGGCAGCCCCTTATTTATTGGAACATTATTATCATGTCCCCTCAGTCCTTCTTTTCACTAAATTAGAGATAGTGCTAGCACTAGCACTTAGACTTATATACTGTTTCATAGTGCTTTACAGCCCTCTCTAAGCAATTTACAGAGTCAGCACATTGTCCCCAACAATCTGGATCCTTATTTTACCAACCTCAAAAGGATGGAAGGTTCAATCAATCATGAGCCATTCAGAATCGAACTCCTGGAGTGAGCAGTGAGTTAGCCTGCAGTACTGCATTCTAACCATCACCAATGCTCTTTCCATATGACATTAAGTACTATAAAATAAAGGATATTAAAGCAGGTGCCAATGGACCTGGGTTAGTTGCTTTCCACTGTTCACACAACTATTTTCTTGTCATTTGAGGCCCTTTGGGCTATGAACAGGATCCCAGACTGGGAGGTCCAACCCTAATTGGATGCAGAAATCTGTGCTGGATAAAGACAATGGCCTGCATGTGTAAACATATGGGAACAAGTCACCGTTCAAAGGCAAGAAGAGTGATGGGCTATTTAGTTCCATAGTGAGCTGCCTTAGAGCTGCTTAATCACACTATTCAAATTCAAGAAACATTCCTAGATTAGATCAATATGTTGGAACAGTCTATATGTATCACACACTAATGCCCAAGTAACACGAGAGTAGGACATTGATAGCTATTGTCATTGAATACTGCAACACTGCTATAGAAGAACAATTTACAGGGTAGCAAAAGTACAAAGAAAAAAGTAATAAAGACGAAGTTCTGCCCTGAGGAACTTGTGATATAAATATGAATTATCTTCCTGTTGGTTCCAGGGATTTTTGTGCAGTTTATATCAATGACAAAGGCACCTCATTTCTCTGAATATATATGTCAAATACTTCTTCTAGGCTTAAGTATTATGAGATAGATATTATTTCTCCATCTTTATTCACCAAGATGTTCTTTCAGAAAGGTCTTCTTCACATTTGCTCCAAAACACTATCCTCCCCTCCCCCACAAGATTATATTGTAAGCACAGAAACTATATTATTTAATGGTAGGTAAGCTTGCCACACCTGATGGGGACAAAACTCATCCTTTTAGAGAGTATGCTATCCCAAAAATTGGCCTTTGGCTTATCTTGAAAAGGCTAAGCAGGTTAGATCTGGATTGTAGTAGGATGCCACTAGGAAATCCCACAACTGTAGGCTAAAATGTGATGTTGAAGAAATATCCTAGAAGAGAGCTGATCATCACTTATAATGAGTTTAGCAGCAACAGTACATTATAAGTCACCAGGCACAGCAGGGCAGTTCTTCCAATGTCCCCTGAGGAGGAACAACTGGTGGCTTGTCATCAGTGGTGGGATTCAAATATGTGAACAACCTGTTCTCTGTGTGGATTCCGCTCCCGGAAGTGCATTCTGGGCCTGGGCAACAAAAAAATTGGCTACCGGTTCTGCTGAACTGGTACAAACTGGCTGAATCCCATCACTGCCTCCTTCCCCCCCCCCAAAAAAAAACACACCACCCTTTCACATGGCTCAAAGTCATTAATTCAAGGGGCATTTACTTTTATTTCAGCAGAAATTGGGTAATTCTTCAAACCTAATGGCAGAAGGTCATTGGGATGAACTGCAATATAGGGGTAGCAGATTATGCTATGAATAAAAAGGACTGGTTCAAAACTCCCTTTACTCAATAGTGCTTTTCAGGAAGGAATTATTCTCTCCGTCCCAGTTCTCCTGCCTGCACAGTGGAGGACTGTATTACTGAACTACTTTTCAAGCTGTGGTCAGTACTGAAATAAGGTAAACAAAGCATTTAAATATTTAAAACATGGCCCCAAATCCTAATCATTACTGTTACACAAAAGAAGGTTCATCTGGAGCTTTACAAAATTACAATTTTTAATAGCTAGAAAATATGGCTAAAGATGAAGGCTCCCTTTCTCCTTGTTGGTAACACTGACCTCAGTATAGAGCAATAGGACCGTGCATGCTTCCAAACTGATTGGAAAATGAGGTTTGGACTTCAGAGACATCTCTGCTATTCATTAAAGCTTCCTGTCCCATTCAGACTTCTGCATGAACCTCAGGGGGAAAAAAAAATACTGCTTTAAGGACCTGATTTATTAAAGCTGGCTATCCAAGCAGCCGCAAGCATCTCCCCCTTCTCACATCCCAGATTTCATGGAAGATTGAAAAATTCCAGATTTAATTAACAGCAGAGAGGTTGCTGTACTCACATGAAATCCAAAGCATTTATTCTAAATCGTTTTCAAAGCATGCACAGCCGTACCAAATAGGAGTTCAGCCTCTTTTCTGTTCCTGCGTATCCCTATTTTAGACAGGTTAACAGTATAAAACAGTTGGAAGGGACCTTGGGGGTCTTCTAGTCCAACTTCCTGCTCAAGCAGGAGACCCTATGACATTCCAAACAATGAACAGAAATTAATTAACATGAACAATGAAATATGCTTTACTGCTTTTGACCTTAGCACAGGTCTCCTCCTAAATGCTCCAATGCTCTGCTACCGAAAGAAAAACTCCATTCTGCCTTTAAAATGCAAGCAACATCTATGGAATAAGCTGGCCACATAGAAAAGGCATTTTTTCACAAGGAAGTAGCATTCCCCCAATTGTTTATCTCACCCATCCTGGTGACATTCCAAATGCACGATTCAAAACTGTCACAGCACAGAACATCTGCACGCAAAGGATAATTGGCTGGTGGATTTTATTGCCTCACGCTGTGGCCATGGTCATAGAAAGGATAGCATGGGAAGAGAGTCAAACAGATGGACAGAAGACAGAAACTATCTATGGCTAATTATTAAAATGCCTTTGGGCTCAAAGGAAATATACCAGGAAATATCAGATCTTGGACCCAAGAAGCATGAAGTTGCTCTGAGCCTCCTTGAAGCATGTGGTGGTTGCTGTGACAGGCCTAACCAGAATAGCCCTTCACATGACCCAGGAAGATTCTTCTTATGTTCAAAGGGCTGCCTAAAATCCTCAGATGAGAGGTTTGATAAATAGAGCTTAGGTCCATTCTTACTTAGTACTTTTTCTTTGGTTGGGTTTACACACTGCCTTGAGCTCTAATACTGAACACACTGATTTTGGCTTAGCGCAGCGTCTGAACCCTACCAACTGAAACTTATTCAACAAGCCATAGTGTTACCCGATGTGGTATTTCCCTCCCTAAAGCCTAGGGGCATACAAAACTGTAGGCAGCATAAAAACCTACTAAATAAATGAAATTTTAAAAATTGTACAGCTAACAATTTATCTGTTTAACAATTTAACCATCTACGGTGCCTTTAGAGACGTTACACGACCCTTTTGGCTCAGCAAAATTGTTGAACATCCTCAGTAGTCTGGCAACAAATGAGATAAAAACACGGGTTGCAGCCACTAACTCATGCTTACAGTGGAGCTGGCACCCAATCTGGCAGAAAAATGGGGTCCCTTTAGAGATGTTATATGACCCTTTTGGCTCAGCAAAATTCCAGCAACTTGTAGAGAAGAAAAAGATTTAAAATGACTGAAGGTTGACCTACTGAAAAAGGGTACTAAACAATGACAACAACAAAAATAAAAAGGAAACTGTTTTTTTTTAGAGTCATCTCATTTGTATTTCCAATGGATAGATTTCGGTAAAACAATGTCAGACTTAGATAAATCTTTGTTTTTCTTTCTCTGTAGCAACTTAAATGTCCTTTTCCCTACTTTCTCAAGCTAAGCTATACCCATGACAAATGTGTGCCTTTGTGTGGGTGTGTACATATGTGAATATGTGTGAATGCTACCTCTGCCTGTATGTGATCGGAAGCTTTGCATTTTTCATCCTTACTTGAATATCACATCCTTCTACCTTGGTGAGAAACCTTGTAGTTATAGTTATTTCAATACTTTTCTGCTAAATTCTGTATATGCTCCATTAAAGTGAAGGGCCTTTTGATTCTTCCCACTGGCTCATTCTTATTTCTCATTTTTCCTGAGTTCCTTGTAGATTGTAAAAGCGTTTTGAGCCCCCTGCTTGCCACCTCCTTACTCTGTTCTCACTCCAAGTTTTTTTTTTAACCTTCTTCTTGCAATCAGTCAAACATTTTGCTTGTGACATTAGGTTCCTTTTTTCAAGTTATTAAATTGTGTTAGCTTACAATTTCAGATTGTTAACTGCTTAAGGTCACTGTGTCGGTCTTTAGATTGTTGATTGTAGTGACAAAACACCAAGTAATTATTTGATTACCTTCAATGCCTTTATCCTCAAACAGTCTTTAAGAAAATGTATGCGTGGGTTATTCATTAGTTTCAGGTTTGGACTACCTGAAAGCATAAGCCTATAAGAATAGCCTATATTATCTGGCCCCTGTAGAAGGGCTTTGTGCAGTGACCCTGGCTATTACAGTGCTTAAGCAAAGCATCGCTTAGTGTGATGGATCTCTTAATACCACACTATTACATCAGTAAAGTTTATGAACCTTGCTGGACATTTTTTGTTTTAATTCGCAAGATATAAGAATACAGGAATGGTTGCTCTCCCATCATCCAATTTGGCTTCAGCTAGGAACATTTAGCTAAACTGCATCAACCATGCAGCCGAATTTGACAGCCATGTCTGGATGAGAGAGCTCTGTTTGCTTTGTGACAATGCCAGACAGCCAATGAGAAATGAGGGCTTTTTTCTTTGATCCTAAGGTCAGTGGATGAAAGGAAGTGGAGGGACAGGATGGGGACATGCTTCGTAAGATGATTTGTCAGCATCAAGGAGGGTGATATTTTGCTCCATCCACAGCGCCCCTTCCCCAAATGGGAAATTTGCAGCCATGAACAGAACAGCAAAGCTTAAAAGGCAATTTAACTGAGTCCTATTTACCTTTCCAAATATAGAGTTGAACCTTTCTGTAGGTATATGAGTGTAGTACCTGGCAAAGAGAAATTTAAATCTGAGCAGAAAGTAACCAGTACATTGCCTCTGCCTCACTTTTTTAAAAAAAATCATACCCTCCCAAACTTTTCATTATAAAATCGATCTGCTATGACTGTCTGCAGTAGTATGATAATATGATGTAAGAGTTTATCTCTGTAAGAATCAGGAATTTCAGATCAAGGTGTGTGTTGATAGTCCTATAATGGAAAGAGAGCAGGCTTGGCAAGCAGATACAGCCTTCTGAGCAGCCATGAGTTGAAACAGGTTCTCTTTCTCCAATCCTTTGATGGAAAGTGGTAAAATTGCAAAATAAAAAGAGAGAGAAAGAGAAAGCTGCTTTCCTACTGCTCTAATCTCCCTCGCTCAGGCAAAGCACCACAGGCAAAATCTAACTTCCGTAAATATTTGCTAAAGCAGGAGAAGATGCTAGAGGGGAGGAAGTTGTTTAATTTTGGCACGTTTGTTAAAAGTGTGAACATTAAAAGGAGAAGCAAGGAGCAGCTTGCTAGCAGGGTTGGTGAGGGGGAAGTGCGTTTCATACAGAACTAGAGCTGGGGATTAGCTTCAAAGAAAGGTTTTGTTTGCAGCCAATTTTACTTCATGCTTTTTAAAATGTATCAAGTGTGTGTGTGTGTGTGTGTGTGTTGGGAAGCAAGCATACCATGTGTATGTGTGTGTTCATAAGTGAAAATTTAAAACAATATACAAAAATATGACTTCTTCAAATAACTTGAGAAACTGCAAACATTTTGGACCAATATCCCCATAAGTAAAGATTCCTTCAAGACAAGTTCCACCCACCCCCAGTAACTATATAGACACATCCATACTGGGAGGTGTATGTATGGGGACAATATTAGAGAAGTGGTTTGCCCTTGCTTTCTTCCAGGGTTTATTACTTGCCAATTTAGCCTTCAGCCTGGGATTTCCTGGCAGTGTCCCACTGAAATACTATCAATCTACAACCTTATTTAATTCCCCCCACCCCAAAGATTAGTTAAAGTCTGCCAGCTGCTGCTACCTGCTGGGAAATAGGCACATGACATTTACACTAATCTGCAGTAGACAGACAAAACATATGGAGTCTCTAAACAAGTCTGCAAAACGGAGAGAGTCAGAAGATCTATCTTCACTACTCTTGATTCTAGGCTAATTGTGCAGAATGAGTCAAAATTTGCATCTGAAATCAGAGACTGATGAAAAAGCTGGTTAAGGACAGAGTGCTAATGCACGCTGTTTAGACCAAAAATGGACCAAAACATGCTTTCTTAAGGGGGAGCTGCTTACTTGAAAAAGAGGGAGGTGGATTTTATAAAGAGAAATAGGAAAGAAGTGCTGGTCATACAATTCTGCCTTTTCTCTCATTCAATAAGCCTCTTCCATATGATATGTGCACTGCACCTCATACTTTAATGGTGCCTCTGAATTCGGATTCAGTTCAGAATTAATCACAAAAGTTAACATGCAGAATGGTTATGCTTGGATTATTGTACAAACCTTCTAGATGGGCACCTCCATTTTTTCTGCAACTGTAAAATACTGTTTTGAAGGTAATCCAAGTTAATTGATGACTTCCCTGAGCTCTTTATGCAGCCTCAGGGAATAACTAGCTCACAACGACATCAAAGCCCTTGTGGCCCAATTATGACACTCCAAAATAGCCATAAATAATCCTTTTCCTATTAATTTCAGTCTCCCATCAAGAACCATAGCAGCTCTCTACAAAGCAGAAAGTTGGGCATAATACGACTTTCTAAAAATCTTACAATTCAACAGCTTCACTCAAACAGAGATACATTTCTATTCAGAAACATAGTTATTATGATCTCAGCATGATTTCCATGTTGTGAACGCAAACCAGTTTTGATAGTGGCTCCCCCCACCCCAAGCTGTCTTTTCCCTATAATTTGACTAGGATGGTGAAAGTATCTTTCGAATGCTCTAATTTTGCCCAAAAAGTATGATTGGAGAAATTCTGTATACTGTCACAAGCTGACCTATATTGTGCTATAATTAAGGGATGGAATAACTACTTTACATGACTTTATCAGTCTGGATACATAGGCAGCTGCCTATTCCACCACCTGTCTCAGTTAATTCCTGGTATCTATAAGATAAATGGTCACTTAAAGAAAACTACATTTGAATTCTTCATTCCAAGTCTCTAACAATCAGACATGGAATCACCTTGAATTAAAAGAAGTATTTTATAAGATTAGTCTGGAGGAAACTTTCTATTGTCATAAATCTGAAAACTGAGATTGAAGATCACACGCTATTCAAATTGGTAGCTTCTGTATGGGGCAAAGTCAGCACAAATAGCATTAGCCTAAACCAGTGGTTCTCAACCTGTGGTCTGTGGACCCCTGGGGGATACAATGTCATGACAGAGGGTCCACAAAGGCTTGAACAAATGTTATGATTTAAAGTTAAGTCTTGGGGATCCATCGCCATGGTCTGTGGCCACAAAAGGTATCTAAAGGGTATCTGTCGGTAAAGAAAAGGTTGAAAACTACTGGCCTAGGCAAAGAGTAGTGATGAAGATACTTAGGAGTAATTAGTCTGATGGGTTACTGCAACCATTTTCAGATTACAGCCTTTCTATTCTCCAAGTCTTCTGATCTCAGTTTAAGATGCAGCCAGACTTAATCAAGGTTGCTTCAAGCAGTGAACATCAAGAGGCAGTATCTACGGACATATAGGTAATCCTTGCTTAGTGATGGCTTCACATACAACTGTTGGCGGTTACAACAGTGATGGAAAATTAACTTTGTGATCAATCCTTTCATTTACAACCTTTGCAGGTCTGTAGTGCAAAGAAAAGCTAAAGTAAGATCATAAACACAGTTGCAGTTTCCTTAGCAACCACCTCATTTAATGTCATGTTTGTGAGGCTAAGATGCTCTCAGAGAACCTACAACTAATTATCACTCATTCTTTCTGGTTAATAATTGGACAGAGAAAGCTATCGGCCAATTAATGCGCACCATACTTGCTATTAGAAAAAAGTTCCTTGCTACCACTTCACAAACTTGCCCTTTCTGTATAGAAAGCAAAAAGAGATTAAACTGCTGGCATTTCTATGCTCATAATGTACACCCCCCCTATACTTTTTATACCAAGCTGTAGACTACCATACTGCATCTTAACTTCTTTATCCCTACCTGACACCTTCCCACCACATCAAAATTGCAGGAGCTGGAAGGGAAGGTGTTAGAAATTCTGTTTATATAGAGCACCACACAAAGCAAACAAAGAATACAATCACCATGTGCTT